TTCTCTCCCTCCCTTCTTTTTCCTTCCCTTCCCTTCCTGGCACACATCACATCACGTGGCTCCAGAGTCTTCCTGGCAGACCAGCACCCCCTCTTCCCCCACCCACCCCTTATCCTGCGGCCAGTCCCACAGGTAGGGCTGGGAGGGGCCCCATAGGGGGAGCTTGTGGGGGTGGGGAGGTTTTGGGGTTTTCAGGGCTGGGCTGAACGGGGCCAGGAGGGGTGGTGTCGGCGGGGGAAGAGGATGGTTGCATGCCCGCGCCGGTCCACCGGAGCCTCCTGTTATTTTGTAGTCTTTTATTCATTTCCACAGTAAAACGGATTTCCAAGGAATGCGCCCGAAAACCCAACAAGAAAATATGTAGGAGAGGAGGTAGGTAGCGAGCCTGGGGGGCGGGCCTGGCAGAGGGGCACAGAGAGAGGCAAGAGACAGAGAGAGTGCGAGGGGGCGCCCACCGCGCCCGGGGCCAGAGCACCAGCATCCTCTTCCCGCTCCCACCAGTTCTCCAGGCGGGAGGGAGGGAGGGAGATGATGGCCTTCCTTTCCCAGGATGTCTTGGGTGACCTCTGTCCCGCGCTGGGCTTGGCCGGAATGGAGGTTCTTCCGGTGTCCCTGCTGGGGTGGGCCTTCATGGACAAGGATCCCCTTTGCCCTCCCCCCCCCGGTGGGGGAGCCCTGCCTTCTGACCCCTGGGACTACGCCCGTCTTCCCGGCCATTTTTGGCCAAGACCTCTTGCGTGGTGGAGACGTAGGCCATGCTCTTAATCTGTGCCTCTCCTGGCATTGCCCCATCTCTGGCCCCCACGTCCAGCTGGGCAGGGAGGGCACCTGGACGGCCCTCCTTACCCCAGGAACAGCCTTGGAGAGCGTGCGCGTGCAGCCTCTGCCAACTGAGGCCGTGGGTGGGCTCCCTGTCGGGAGCTCGGCCCTGATCCCCTCCTTGGCTGGCCGCGCGAGGCCAAGCGACCCTATTCTTCCCCTCCCTCTCCTTTGGGCTCCTTGCTGGGCTGGCCGGTCACTTCCAGCCCTGGCGATTCAGGTGGCACCTCCCCAAAGGTACCAGGGCTGCCCTGCCGTGGGGGGTGTCTTGGCCCTTGACCGGGGGGGCTCCCTTCACCAGGGGGGCTCCCTTTGCTTGTGCTGCTCCCCTCTGGGGGGGGCCCTTGGACAGACCCTGCCTGGTGGCGCCAGTGGTGGTGGCGGCCGCGCGAGGACCAGGGCAGGGAGAGACCGAGGGCTGCCCCAGGGAGGCTGCCAGTGTCCGTTCTCCGAGCAGCCTCCAGTCCTCCTCGTGCTGGCCACAGTAGTCGGGGAACAGCGCGCACACCTTGTCCCCTTCCTGCTTTGGTGGGTGGGCAGTGACGGTCTCGCCAGCACAGGGGGCGGAAATACCAGTCGGGACATTTCTACGCCCTCTTATCCAAATCTGGGCTTCATGGCCCTATCTGACCAGGAACAAAAGTGGTTAAAGCAGTGTGAGTGTGTGTGTGTGTGTGTGTGTGTGTGCGTGCGTGTGCGTGCACGTGCATGGCAGGTGGGCATGCAGCCAAGGGTGCGTGCGTGTGCGTGTGCGTGCGCGTGCATGGCAGGTGGGCATGCAGCCAAGAGGTGGGCAGGCCCCTGAGGAGGCTGGGATGCTCTGGGGCGGAGTTCAGTCATCCAAGTGCATCCTTGAGCTGCATGCGCTTGCTGCATCGGAAGGCGGCATGCATGAAGGCCATCAACTGGCAGGGAGAGCCTCCAAAAAAACCACAAGGAGCTTCCAGTCCAAACGGTGACACAGAGGGAAGGGAGGGGTGGGCCGAAGGAAGGAGAGGCGACGTCCCTTTATTTTAGCTGTGCCAACTTAGAAGGTGGGTTACAACTGGGCAGCTTTCCCCAGGTCCATCCTGGTCTTTGAAACCACAAACCCCATGACTCCTGACTGGGCATGATGGGGGTTGTAACAAGACATCTGGAGGGCACCAGGGTGCGGAGTGGCTGAGAAAGGGGAGGAGGGGGTTGGAAGAGCGAGGAGAGATGGGGTGGGGGTGGGGTGGGGGTCCCCTGGCAGGTTCCACCTTGAAAGGGGAACAAAACTAAGCAAAACACTCTCTGTGGATCTTAGGAGGGAGTGGCCAGTGTCCAACCGCTAGTTTCAATGGGGGCGCAAAATTAAAATACAGTAGAACAGAGTAAAATTAAATTAAATTTAGTTTAAACTAGATTGTATTAGATTACATTTGGGGGTGGGGGGGGGTCCCCTGGCAGGTTCCACCTTGAAAGGGGAACAAAACTAAGCAAAACACTCTCTGTGGATCTTAGGAGGGAGTGGCCAGTGTCCAACCGCTAGTTTCAATGGGGGCGCAAAATTAAAATACAGTAGAACAGAGTAAAATTAAATTAAATTTAGTTTAAACTAGATTGTATTAGATTACATTTAATTAAATCTGACTGACTCAATCGAGCAATAGTAAGTCCATGCTGATTTAAATCTCACTGAGTCTTGGGGAGGGGGTGTCTACTCTAGGTGGAACTAACAATAGGATTCTGGCTGGTGGTGCAGAATCATAACCATGCCCCCTCTTCACTTCCTGGGACGGTTTAGATAGTCTCCGCAGGCGGAGGCGAAAAGAACCACCACCATACCCACTCATTTCCGCCAGGAAGGGCTTGCCAAACAGCCCTTCCTGATCTTCCCCTCCTCTCTGTGCTGGGGGGGGGGGGGGCGGGAGGCTTTGTCGCAGGTCCGGAGGGCTGTCCTAGAAGCCCAGGCTCCCCCACCCACGATGGGGTGCCGTTGCCCCCCCCATGCCCCGCAGGGTGTGCTGCTGGCGCCTTGGCGCAGGTGGGCAGAGGCATCCTGTGCTGCTGCATCTTAAGAGCAGGGGTTCCGTCAGCAGGCCGGCTGGCTGGCTGGCTTTCTCTGTTCGGGTGACTGCTTGCCCAGGCCTTGATCCACGCTCACGTCCTCCTCCTCCTCCTCCGAGGGGAATGGCGGGGAGGAGCGGTGGTGACTCAGTCCCGGCTGCTGCTGCTGCTGCTTCGCACGCTTTGCAGCAGCAGCGGCTTG